TAATATATATATATATATATATATATATATATATACATACACACCACCTCTTCTTGCCTTTTCATTTTCTAACTACTCTCAATGGGTTGGCTTAAGAAGATTACAAAAAAAAAGAAAGAAAGAAAGATTTTTCATTTCGGATCTTTCGTTGAAAGGAATAAGAAGAGCTAATCTGTATGGGATTTAAAAGGTAAAAGGAAAAGAAGATGATGATGATGATGATGATGTAAGGGATGGGAAGAAGGGGGTTGTTAAATAGAAAATGAAGAAAAGCGATCTCTCGAAACTATGACAACGACGAGAGTCAGTCGTAACACGTCGTTGCCTTTGAATGAACTCATTTGCCCGAGAAATTTAAATCAAATCGAACGGATTACATTGTCACGATTCGTTAAAGCTTATCTCTCTCTCTCTCTTTCTCTCTCTTTCTGTTTCTGGTACCTAGTGTTAGTATTAGCTGCTGGTGGTACTGGGGGAGGGAGGGGGAGGGGTGCTTCTTCAAATGAAAAGGATTAGTTCATTTCCAGTCTTCTTCTTGTTCCCTCTCCCTACCCCCTACCACCCCCTTTGCTTAATTAACTAACTACGAGAAATGAAATGAAATGAAACTTTGAATACGCATAAATGAACAAACGGTGTATGTGGGGGAGGGGGTTGGAAAAAATTGCGCGCACGTTGTTATTCATTCGAGTTTATTCGGTTTAGAAAAAATAAAAAAAAAAAGTCGAGTTACCTAGTTGAACAATGAGAACAAAACTCGATGATACGAAAATAAAAAATGAATAGGGGTGAAAAAGGATAGGATTGGATAGATAGATAGATGGATAGAACGAGTAAACCAAAAAAAAAAAAAAAAAAAAAGAAAAAAGATGATAAAAGCACATAGAGAAGTTGAAGTTATGAGAAGAGGAGGAGGAAGAGGAGGAGTAGGAGGGGGAGGGGGAGGGGGAGGACCTACATATACACACATGACTTACATACTTTAAATGGCATATAGGACGTATAAAAAAGAAAGAGGAAAGAGATAGATGGAAATAGTATAAGGAGTAAGAAGAAGAAGTAAAAAAAAAAAAAACGAGAATGGAAAGAGGAAAGAGAGAGTAATGTGTTCAATGTCGAAGAGTAAAGGTGTAAACGGCATCGTTCTAAAGAAAGAGGTGGGAATAAGAAGAGAAAGAAGAAGAAGAATAAGAAAAAAGTATAGTACGAAACCTTTTTACCTTGTGAGGAGATATGGAGACCCCCCCCCCATTTTAGGTTTCCTCCTCCACGAAACTATTTTTCTCGTTCGAGTCGATAGCGTCGTGTAATGGGAACGGAGAAGAGAAAAAGGTGAACAGAAAGTAAGTAAGAAAGAATGAGAGGGAATAGAGAGAAAGACAAAGCTTGCCATCAAGCATGAATCCACCTATCCATGTATGCATGTACGTATATATACATACATATGTACATACATACGTATATATGTAAGCAAGAAAAGGAAGGAAGGAAAGAGATAGAAAGAGAAAGAAGAAACACATAGAATATTGAAACTAAAAGGGAAACGACAGATCGACCGAACAATCTTCGTATAAATTCTTCACAAAGAGGAGTAACGATAGTTGGAAATGGGAAAGAAGACAGGTAGACAGACGGACGGACGGACGGACGGACGGATAGATAGAAAGAGAAATACGAAGGGGGGATATAAGGGGGAAGAGAACAATGAAAAGGATGAACACTAACCATCTCGTGCTCGATCGATAATAAAGGTCTTAGAAAGGAATCGATCCTAGGTTGTTTTACGTTACGTACGATAATAAATTTTCTATTTACAAAAAAAAAAAAAAAAAAAAAAAAAAAAAAGAAAAGCTTAATAAAATGGTATATAACAGAAAGTAGGATTAAGAACACCTGTTAGATTATCATCTATCTATCTCTCTCTTTCTAAATGTTCGTTTCCTCACCACCACCACCACCACCCCCTCTTAACCATCCCCCTCACCGTTTTGTCTCATTTCCAATTAAAGAATAATTAGGATCGACGATGATATGAAAGGAAATGAGAAACTAAATGAAGATTTTGTGTCTATTGAACGTCGGGAATACGCCCAGGGAAGAAATGGAGGACGAGGATGAGGATGAGGAGGATGAGGAGGAGGAGGAGGAGGTGGAGAGGTAAAACTTTAAGAGTGCATCGTGTGAAAGAGAAAAAGAGATGTGTATATATGTGTATATAAATGGGATTTATTCGCGCGCTCTCGAAAGAGTTAAGAAGAAAGAAGAGGTGGGTGGTGGGGTGAGGGATAGGGGGGAGTACAAGGAGGGGGGGGGCAATGTAATGCAACGATGAGAAGAGGGACTCGTCCTCGTGCCACTATTGTAGGCTTTTACGCGAGCGAAACAAAGGTCCTTCTAAAGAGAAAATAAAAAAAAAAAAAAAGAAAAAAGAGAGAGAGAGAGAGAGAGACGAACTTAACATAAAGAAAGAAATAAAGAATGACAGAAAGATAGATAAATATTATATAAAAAGAGAGAGGAAGGAAGGAAGGAAAGGGGTTGGGTGGCACGTGAGAGAATGAAACATTGAAGGCCATACAAGAATAGGGGATTTTTTTCTTTTTTTTTTTTTTAAAAAAAGAAAAAAAGTGGTGGCAGAGATATCACACCGCGACATCTTCTACAAAAGCGTTACTCTGCCGAATATCTTTCGAAATTGATCGTGGGCTCTCGTAACGCGCATACTCTCTCATTTACCAACGATGCGAACGTACTATTTTCTATGGTACGTGTCGAGGGAACACGATAAATGGACCTTTCCCTATATCCTACGTGCACTCTCTTTGCTAAAGTTTTTAAACGAAAAGAGGAAAAATAATAAATAAGTTGAGAGAAGATATTACGAAGGGGGAATGAATGGGTGTGTGGGGTTGTACACACACGTACAAGAATAAGGTTTTAAATTATTTCGAATTAGAATCATCGTCATCGTCATCGTCGTCGTCATAGGCGTTCGATAATAATAATAATAATAATAATAATAATAATAAAATTGGCGTGGCACGTACTTTAATTGCGAGGGTGCGTCCGACGTTTGTGTAATAAAAGCTCGGTTTCGAAGAAACACACACATACACACGCGCGCAACAACACGCGGCGAGTAATATAGGAAAGATAAGATAGAAAGAGAAAGAAATAGTAAGCAAGACAGAGAGAAAGATAGAGAGAGAGAGAGAGAGGTAGATAAATACAGGTAAAGAGAAAGTAAATAAGTAAGTACTCACTCATGTCACTTTCTGATGCATCCTCGTTACAGAGGGTAGTATTCGCGATGACGCTAGGATAACCCAAAGTGATATAATATAATCCAATTCCGTCTTCCACACCTTGAGGATCGTTGGAGCGAAGTACGCTCGATAATGGCTGGCACACATAAGTAACACTAAGGATGCACCAACAACCGTGCTTATTTTCTTCTTCTTTTCCTGTTATATTTCTTTTTTTTTTACTCGCGCACTATTCACCGACAGACCGCGACGAATAAGACGGACAAACGTCCGAACGTTCTGCTCTGCTTTTTTTTTTTCCTATCCTACCTGTCTCTCTCTGTCTCTCTTTCTTTCTTTCTTTCTTTTTCTAGTAGTACCGATTCTATGTCTCTTTTTAGTAAGATACTTTTGATGAAAGAAGACTAGACCGGCAAGGATCTAAAGATAAAAAGAGATAAAAGGAGGTCCTCTATTCTTTTTCTATCCTAGGCCCACGGGTGGCCATTACGTTTCTCACATCGTCGTCGCTACCACCGTTGCGAGGGTACAAAGCGAGAGAGGGTGGCTGCTGCTGCTGCCTGGCTTCCTACTTGCTGTTGCCCGGGTGGGAGCGAGAGCGCAGACGGCACCGAACGACAGACCAAATGGGAGGGAGAGAAACATACACACTCTGAAGAGAGATAGAAAATCCACGGTATATGTCCCTCTCTTTCTTTCTTTCTTTTTCTCTCTTTCTCTCTCTCTCTTTCTCTATTGCACTATTCGAGCGAATAAATGCACTCGAACTCGATGCACCCGCTACGAGAGCGTGAGAGCGACTGGACTCGGCAACTTCGAGTGTCGACTAATCGACCAATCGTTGAGCGCCTCCCACCGAGCGCCATCTTGCTGCCACTCCGCAACTAATTGGACAAAGGGAACTCCGCTTTCGGAAAGCCGACAGCAACCAAAACTTTTCCCTTCTGCCGCCTAAATATAATATCTGGTTGCTCTTACTTTTGATACCCTGTTCTCTTTTCATCTAACTCTCCCACATCCTTTTTTATCTATCTATTTATTTATCTATCATTTTTTCTCCTACACTGGTTTTTTTTTTTTTTTCTTCTCTTCACAAACTATCGTCTATTTTAGTTTGTATATCTTTCGTTCGGACATTAGTTTTTGAAATTATATTTCTACTTACTATTGTTTCTCTTATTATTTGCATCCTATGATCAAGAGAACAATGATTTATCCGTTTTTAATCTATATTTATCTATTCGAAGTTTATCTATAATAATATAATTTTCAAATGAAAAATTTCATATGTGTAATATTAGTTCGTTTGACGAACTACGTACTATTTAATTTATGGTCAGATAAATGTAATTACGTATTTAAATATAATTTATCGTTCTTTGTTATCGCAATAATAATTCTTAATTTTATTTTTATATCGTAATAATTAAAAATTAAAATATATTAACAGAAGTGTAAGAGCAAAGACCGGATGTACGAGTAGCGACATCTCGTGAAATGTTACGTAACTAACAATAAGGAAAAAGCATTTGCGATCGTTATTTCTTGTTAACTGGCGTAACGAGAATAGTAGTTTTTGGGAGTATTTATTATAGATATATATATATATTTTTAAGTTTGTATGATAACACAATTATTTTCTTATATTGTTTATTGTTATACGCAAAAAAAATAACCTCAACATTTATATCATTTTATATTACTATTTAACAAACATAACATAACAACAAGCAGTAAAAATGTTAGATAAGGATGATGTAGATAATGAAAAAATGAGAAAACACAAGGAACGTCTCAAGCTCGCATCAAAATTAGATGACGAGTTAAATGATTTTATTAATTCGTTAGAAAAGAAAACTTACACCGAAGGATGGACTGAAGAAACTATGCTAAAAGAATTGGACAGTCATCCGTTCTTCATGAAGAAATTACCAGATACTGAAGAACCGTTACATCCTCTTGTAGAAGGATTGCAACAACTTAAATATTCAGAAGAGGAAAATACTCCTGAGGGTTTGTACTATTATTTAAATTGACAGCAAACATTTTAAACTAGACATTTCTATATGAATTAATCTTACTTTCTACAGAATTAGCTCTGAGCTATAAAGAGGACGGAAACTTCCATTTCAAAAATAAAAAATACCGTATGTCTATTATAAGTTATACGTTAGGTCTCAGGACCAAATGCAACGACCCAATATTATTGGCAGCGCTTTACAATAACAGAGCTGCTGCTCATTATATGCTTAAGAATTACCGGTATAATTATATCTCTTTGCGTTTTTATCTTCATTAATTAAATACAATATAGAATAATTTGAGTATATTTTGTAGGTCTAGTTTAAATGACAGTAAACAAGCAATAACATTGAAATCAGATTATGTTAAATCCTTGGAAAGAGCCGCGCATTGTTGCTTTGAAATTAAAGATTTTGATCAGTGTGATGAACTGTGCGATAGCATCCTAGAAATGTATCCAACTAAAAAAGAGATACTGAAATTAAAAACCAAAGTTTCATTTGGACGAGTAAAATCATTGTTATGAGCAATCTATTAAACGCATAATCTATCTTTTTAAATAACAATCAAGTTTATATATTCATTATTTTATTTAAAATAGAGCAACATGGAGGACGAAGCAAGAAAGAAACGTGCAAAAGAGACTAAACTTGCTCGAGAAGAAGAAAAATTGTTATCTGTCATCAAGGAGAAAGGTATCAAATTAGAATTACTGGATGATGATAAAATTCCTACATTGCAAGATTTGGAGCCTGATGTACCTGCATTGATGCAAAACAAAGTACATCTAGATGGAAACAACAAACTTGTATGGCCAGTCATATTTTTGTATCCCGAATTTCAAGAAACTGATTTTGTACAAAATTTTCATGAAGATATTACGTAGGTTTTTATATATATATATATATATATATATATATATATAACAATTATAGAAATATTTATATATTTTTATAATAGAATTATTGAAAACGTTTTTTTTTCTTTCTGTATGATGTGTTTCTATAGTATAAAAGAACAACTGGAAGAATTATTTTCTTCTCCAGTAGAATGGGATGTTGATAATCTGTATGAGCCTGATACTGTATCAATATATTTTGAAGGAAAGGATGTAACTTCTCTTAATAAAGTTGACATTTCACATACACTAGGGAAAATATTAAAGAGCGAACAGTAAGTTTGAATGAAATATTAAAATTACATTTTAAGCACATATTTTATTTTACAAAATTGCATTAATACAATTTTCGTAGATTTTTCGTTCGTAGTGGAACACCAGCTTTCTTGGTATTTGTAAAAGACAGTAAAGCTGAAGCTCGATATTTAAAAACTTATAATATTAGCGAATAGAGAAATGGACTGGCAAAGTAAATAAGAACTTGGTTTCTTTCTTCTAATGTGTATTTGTATTTTTGTTTTGATTTTTCTTTGGAAAAATTTTTTTTTCTATGATAAAAATATTGAAATAAAACAAATATCTGCAAATGGATACAGTGAATTTTAAGTATTTTCCTGTACCTTTCCAAAAGGTCTGAACAAAAAACTTTGAAAAATATTTCCAGAGAATAAAATGAATTTTCTAAAGAGATCCAAACTAAAGTATAAATCTATCGAATCCTCTATAATAGATCTAAATCTAAATAGATCTTTCTGAAAAAAAAAAAAAAAAAGAAAAGAATTTTTATCAAATATACGTGTAAAACACAAAACAACAAATATAAATCCTAATAAAAAGTCAAAAGGAAAGTTTTGTTTGAATAAAAAAAAAATAGGAATATAGAAGTAAAAGAGAGAGAGAGAGAGAGAGAGAGAGAACAAAAGGAAAAAGTCAAAGTCCAAAATCAAAAAGAACAAAAAATACAAAAGGAAAATAGAGAAAATAGAAAAAGAAAATCGGCTGGAACAGTTAGAAAGAAATAAAAAGGACAAAAAAAAAGAAGAAATATTGAAGGAAAGTGGTGCCCTCTGCACCACCTGATGAAGGTACTTAGACACAGGTGAGCATAAAGAGAAAGAGCAACAGGACTTGGAAATTCAGTTCTCGACCTACACTTTGGTACGCGTATGCGCGTCTTCGTGTTCGAGTTAAAAGACGCGTTGGGTTTTGGAAATTGATTGAGTTCATTTAACCGGCCTAATTCAAATTGATTCAAATTGTGATTTAAATATAAGATAAATATTAAAGAAATTCAAAAGGAAGAAAGAGATCCTCGCTTTTGTTGCTTGATCGAAGATTATTTACCAGGCAGCTGAATTTAAAGAAGAGAAAGAGAGGAAGAGATTGTCGTGAAGTTGCATATATAACGCGAAAGAAAAACGGAGCGAGACGCAAGCGATGCTAAAACGATGCAGGCAATATAATTTATTCTTTTCCTTTTTATTCTTCTATTTTTCTGCCTGTCTCTGTGTGTCTCTTTCTCTTTCTCTCTGTTTCTATCATAATTACACCATTATCTTCCTCCGACTTGCTTAATAATCATATTTATTTCTTCCTTTCCTTCTTGCATTAAACACGTGGCTTCCTTTGCTTTGCAATATTAGTTTTTTTTTTTTTTCTCACGATATTTTCTTAAATAAAATTAATTCTAATTGTATTACACAAAGATTTCTATATAACAAATAATAATATTACAATGTATAATTATTGCAATGACACGACAGATCAGATTAGATTTTTGTTCTCTTTTTTTTCCGAATAATTAACGATTAAAAATAATAATAATAATAATAGAAAAGAAGAGTTAAAAAATACGGTTTATATTCTGGATAATTTTGTATGATTGATATAGAGAGGAAGGAACCATCCTATCCAACACAACAAGGATGCCATATTGATTCGATGAGGATCACCATTGGAATTTCCTCTTACGAAAAAATCAAATTCTTTTCAATTGCAATGCGAACTTACGACGGTACATGTAAGTGCAATATCTTATTAATTATATATAGGAATTTTCCGTATGCATATTATTAATCTTCTACTCTATAGAATCAGGTTAATAGTTAAACAAAAAAAAATGTAATTTAATAAAAAAAAAACGAAAGACACGAGATATAAAGGGGAGGAGAACTTTTATAATTTTTTTGTTTTGTTTAGAAATCTGATATTCGATGCGGCTGAAGAGATATAGAAATAAAAGACGATCGGATGGCGGGTTCGAATCATTTTTCAAATATTTTCTATCTCTCTTCTCACATATATATATGATATATATACATATCACTCTCTTTCTCTCTTTTTTTAACCCGCTAAAGTAACAAACGGTTAAAGATTTTTCTTTTTTTTTTGTTTTATACGAGAGATTTACAAGTAAAAGTACGGAATGGGATTCTAACGGTGATTTTTTTATTCCCAAACACACACGTACGCATATATATATATTCTTTATGTTTTGTCTCTTTCACTTTTTTTTATTTTTTTATTTTTATCCATTAAAAACACATGTTTGTTTTCGAACAGTGCATATAGAAGTTGAAGTATTTGCTTGTCCCCGAGGAAGTCGAGGTAAATACCTTTCTGTTGACGACAGGGAAGAGAATCGCGTGTCCTAGTTTTGTGAAACTCGATGGACCACACGATGCATCTATCTATCTCTTTCTCTCATGCACAAACACACACACATACATTCACTCTTTCTGATACGGTATCTTGAAGCAAGTGTTGTATTCGATATACCTAGGTGTATATATATATATATATATATATATAAATATTTCTACATGCTTACGTGTGTATGATACTCGAGGAAGAATTGCGTCACGCGTGCCACGCACTCTTCGCAAGAAGGATACAACATAGGAGCTAACCGGTTGTAACGGCGAGTCAATGTACAAGTATATGTACAAGAAAAAAATAGAGAGAGAGAAAGAGAGTAGAAAATAAAATCTAAAATATCATCATCATCATCATCATCAACAACGTCCAACAGAATCTCATATTACGTTAACTTCTCCAACGAGAGATCACCTTCGCTCTACTAACCGAAGAAATGTCCGAGCATTTGACACACATATACTTCTTCTTTTTGTTTTTTTGTTTTGTTTTATATATATAGGTATATTTTTTTGTTATGCTAGTGTTATCTATACCTAGCTTCGTCCAGTTAGACGGCTACTTTCCTTCCAATTAGACATTTATTATCTCTAACACTGTTATTAATTATTTTCATCATCTGATATCTCTTTGTTTTACGTAAACTAGTTCATTATTCGTTCTTCTATATTTTTTTTATTATTATCTTATTAATTTTGTAACACTTTGATAGAGTTTATTTCGATTGCATGTATAATTGCAAATTAATGTTTATTTATTTGTTGCAGCAGTTGAAAGGACGAAACAGTTTAGGAGACAGGAAAGAGTGCGTTATCGAGGTGGACTCAAAAGTGTCCGGAAATCGTATCGTTTGATATTAAAAAAATCAACGAGTGTTTTAAAAACGAAAATATCGTCGTGATATATTCATATATCTAAAAATATTCTCATTGTGAAAGAAAATTTTAATTAAAAAAACAAAAAACCAAAAAAAGAGTCGCGTCGTACGAGTGAGATTCCGGCAAAGGAAGAGGAGGCACCTAGAAAGTGCCGATTATTTTTCGAAATCGTGGAAGGGAATAATCGAAAAACGGCGAACCATTACGGAGGTATACAATACGCGAGCTCATACAGTAACGGTCGTACGGCAACGAGCTTGTATAATAATAATTGTTCTTCGACCACCACTTACGGTGCTTTTGTGCACCAACAACAACAACAACAGCAGCTGCAGCAACAACAACAGCTGCAACAACAACAACAGCAGCAACAGCTTCACGAGGATTATCGTCCAATTTATTTTTATGTCGCTCAGCCGTACACTATACCGTATACGTTCGCGAAAAGACCGAGACAGAATTCATCCCTTCTTAGATCGGACAACAGGTCCAATTATCGTGTTAAATTTTCAAAAAAACTTCCCAACGTAGTAGACTTCTCTCAAAAGGTTAAACAGGGAGAATTTTCGAAGAGTCTCAATCAAGTTCACTTCGCCGAGGGCCAGAACCACCAAGGTGTGAATTATTTTATTTTACAATCATTTTAACAGATCTACCCTTTTATGAATTATCCTTGAATCCATTAAAATCTACTAGAATTAATCTTTTACTTTAGACGTCATTAAATTATCCTTAGTCCGATGTTCTCGCGTGAACGTCTCTGTTTAAATTAGGAATGAAAGTGCCTCGGTCCCCCCATGAATTATGGATCAAGATGTAATTATATATATCAAGAAGTTACTCTTAAATTTATCCATATATGGAGAGGTGTACTTTAGCTTGTTGAACTTTAGGATTGTATTAGGAACTTGTGTGATTAATTTTATCACCGTTTCATGTGTGGTTACTCTCACAGTTACTGAGCACTCTGTAGATACTTTGTTCTCTGTAAAAAAGAGAGGAAGAGAGAGAGTGCAAAGAAGCGACGATTGTCATTTCACTTTCAAAGCGCTTTCACACTGTCAGCTTTTTCTAACAGACCGGATAATTGTTGCGAAAGCGGCGACATAGTTTCAGTTGGATAATTTAAATAGTTGACTATCGCGTCGACGAATGGTATTCGGTTAAATGTCCACTTTAATTGAGAATGCACATACATATATAGTCTAAGAAAATGTTGGTCTCTTCTCTTTCTTTTCTCTCTTTAAAGATATGCAACTTTCAGTTTCAAATCTGTATCAACTTTCTTCTACGTAAAACAGGGGGGACAGGACAAAAAGAAAAGAAAAAACAACAACAAAACCGTTCTCTTTATACAGTTTTGATGTTTTATAGGATTTCCGCATTTTTATAAACCTGGCCAGACACCGCGACATCCAAGAATGACGTCGATGTTTCGAAGGGGCACTATATTTGCAACTTTCTTTCTCTCGTTACTCGGTGGTGGATTGGTTTGTGCTGCATTAGTTACCCAACACTGGGTTGAGGCACGACCCTGGAGGACACCGAATCCTCAGGAGAGTGCAGGAAGAGTTCATTTTGGTTTATTGCAGGGTAAAAAGGAATTGAATGTTGCCTATGGTTGGAGAACCTATCACGTATCAGGTAATAACAGATACTTGGAACAAAATGAACACATTCTATTGAATTTCAATATAATTCTATGTTAATCATTATATTTCAGTACCTCAAATGTTACGGCAAGATCCAACAGTTATGTCCTGGGGACTCTGGATGGGAACTTTAGTAGCAACTTCAGCTGCATTGATAACTGCTGCCTTTGCCGCACTTTTAGCTGTGCTAAATACGGCAACCTCACCAAGAGCTAAAGCTCTCTCTGTACCTGGAGTTTATTTTATAAACATTTTAGCGTGTATGTTTCTAACGAACGAACGTGTTTCTTTTTCTTTTTTTTTTTTTTAACGTAACTATCTATGTAAATTCCTTGAAACGATGTTATATTTTCGTAAAATTATCTTTTTCAGTGATAATGTGTATAACAAGCGTTGGTACATGGTTAGCACAATATTACACTAGGCTGTACGTCAATGTCTTGCCAAAAGAAGACATCGATAATATGTGGACCAGCGAAGGTTCTGCTGAACTTGGTTACTCATTCTGGTAAAAATCTTGTCTACAATTTATTTTAATATATATATATATATATAAAAGATGCAAGCATGGGAGGGGGGGTAATATATATAATTATCTCAAAATAATATATGATCTTTGTTTTCTTCTCTAGGCTCGTTGCAAGTGCTGCTGTTGTGCATCTTATTAGTATCGCGTTAGTTGGTTGGGGTTCTGGAAGAGAAAAGGATAATAATTTGGAACCGATTCCTGCATTGGAAGAAAAAACTGCAGCAGCAATAATGCTCTATTAGGATCAGGTTTCTTTTTCAATATTGAATACGAACCGTACACTGAATTATTTCTATTTCTATTTCTTTTAAAAGTATATGAGTGAGAAGGGAGCGGGGGGTATGTTATCTCTAAACGCATTTCCAAAATTCTATTGCAAAAGTTCCTTCCTTTTCTTGCCGCGTGTAATCCACACGTTAAAGATTATTATGATATATCGCAAAGTATAATAAGAATGACTGTATGATGCGCTTTTTTTTACATTTTTCTATGATGCACATTAAAGCCGATCTTGCCCGTTTAAAATTATTATTCGTTAACGATCGTGTGAAAAGAAAATTGATACTTTAGGGATGATTTTTTATATGGCACACGTTACTAATCAACATTGAATCATAATTAATTGACGAATCTTCTGTTATCAATGATCTAATATGTATTATTTCTTCTCTTACAATATCTTTAATTGTAATTGCTTTCAATTTGGAAGCTGATAACCGTAAATATTCGGTTAAAAAAAAGATTAATGACGAATGTTAGTATATATATATAGCTTTTAATTTACTCCAATATGTGATAACTATAATATAGTTATATATTGAAAAAAAAAAGATAAAAAGAAATTCAATAATTTTATACAAGTATATATATATATATATATGTCTATAAGTAATTTTATATTATAATTGAATAATTTTGTTTTTGTGATTGGTGAGAGATCTTCAGAGAAAATTTTCATCTGGGCTGGATGCAGTTATAGATATTTTTATCTTAATTTTTTTTTTTATTAATAAATTGCAATGTACTAGTAGCAAGCGCACATTATTTTATTGAAATATTTTATCTAGAGATTATGAGATGCCACATGTTGTAAATAGACGACACGAGGAGATGAAATGTGTTTTTTTTTTCTTTTTTTTTTTTTATCGATATATATATATTTATTATGTAATACCTCTAAGTGTTTTTTTTTTTTTTTTTAGTATACTCTTTTCAGGCGTAACAATTATTGCATTTTCCGTTCTAGTTTAATAATACAAATACGACAATAAAGATGTAGACCCGCCACAACACATAGGACTCATTATTCTTCTTCTTTTTTTTTTTCTTCCTATATATGTTTTAAGAGAGTTTCTTTTTTTTTTAAAAAGATTCATCATGTCGTTATAATAATAAACGGCACAACATATATTATTCTCTTATGAGAAAGAGAGAGAGAGATATATATATAATTAAAATTCGAGATAACTGTGTTTAGATCTAAAAAATAAAATTAGTAATTTGAATATATTGGTTTCTTATATATGTTACATAAATTTTTTATTCAAATTCTCTCTCCTTTATTATTTTATATTTTTGTCTTATTATATATATATATATAGTTGATAATAGTAATTAAGGNTATAATTAAAATTCGAGATAACTGTGTTTAGATCTAAAAAATAAAATTAGTAATTTGAATATATTGGTTTCTTATATATGTTACATAAATTTTTTTATGAATTTTTATGTAATTATAATAGTACGCGTGTGTGTGTGTGTATATGTATGATGTGCATTTGTCGTTGAGATAATAATTCCCAATAAAAAGTATTTCTCTTTTTTTTCCCTCTCCTATTATTATTATAATTATAAATAAGAAAGATAGAGAAATAGATTTTCTTAATTGTTTTCTTCATTCATCTCGTGTATCAAATCAAACGGAGATTTTATGGCGATTAGAAAAAAAAAAAACTTGCGATTTAATTAAAACGTTATTTCGACGAAGTTGTGTTTTACTTATTTTAAAAAACTTATTGATACGACTTGCAGATCCTTATCATCGATATTAGAATACAAGTAAACGTTTGTTTGAAGTTCTTTGCAATTTTTTCAGTCGTCTCTTTTCTTTTTTGTTGCGTCATTTACATGTTGTGTATATTCGTTACATGATTATGATCGAATTCTATAGGATTTGTTTAATGTTCTAATGAAAATTATCCTTGCAGGACCCCGTCATATCCTTTTATTTGTTCTGCACATCGATTCTAATAAAATATTTTTGTCGTGCCGATACGAAGCTATTTTTCTTCCCTTTCTTTTTAAAATTCAAATAATACTACATAACTTACATATGTATACAGTAAATATAAGTTCTACTTGAAAAACAAAAATAAAATCATAAAAATACAATCACCATATTACGTGAGATTTCAAACTAAACGTGTTATTTTTCAATCCGAAAGGAAAATGAAGATTTTTATAGATTGAAAAGTTAGATTTGGATAAATGGAGAAAAAGATTGGGAGAAAGATGATATTGAAAGAAATTAAGCATAAAAAGAAAAAAGGAAATGTAACATAGTATTATTGAACATTATGATGAGCTTCGTATCGTATCAAAAATCTATGTGTATGTGTTAATTCATGTCTTGTTTTATGGATATCGCCGTCAATGTTATCATTATCATCATTATCATCATCATTATTAACTCCGTTTATCTTCAACTCCGCCGGTCTACTTTTGTCCAATTATCGTCTTCTGGAAGCCGCTTTCTTTCCTCTTGTCTACTAATTGAAAGCATGTTTTTGAAATATCACTTCGCCATTTATATTATAATAGAAAACCCGCCCAGTAATCGACCAGCTCGGAATCAATCATTATTTTATATAAACAAATCTTTTCTAATTAATAATTTTAGTATATATATGTATATATCATTACAAAAATTGAAAAATTAATTTTCTAACATTGCAAATAACGTTTTTACTGTATTTTACCTCGATGAACAAATTTCTAATTCACACATATCATTATTAATTTACATTATATATGAAAAATAAATACAACACAAACAAAAGAACCGAGATGGTCGATAAGCGGACATTGATCTTAATGTATTCAATATGTCAAACTAAACTAAATTCACCATGTGCTTATATCTAATTATAAATGATGAACAATTATTCATTACAATTTCATGAATATTCATTATATGCAGAATTAACATGTAATAATGGACTTTAACTGCAAAATTTTATATACGATTGACTACATTATAGTTTCTTCCCTCTTTCATATGAATAATAAAAAAAAGAAGTAAAACAAGTTATTAAATAGCAACAAAAGAAAGAGAATAATAATATTAAAATATTATCAAAGTGATTATAAGAAAAGATATAAGCAGTTAAAAAAAAAACATTCTATATAAAATTTTGCTTCAATGATTACACGATAATATAAAAAGAAAAAAAGAAAAAAATTCTGAAATATACACTTTTGGTTTTAACAATGCTTACTTATCATCTTGACGTCTTGCTGGCGGATCTTGAGAATCTTGAGCCGTGGAATCCCTGCTACGCCAATCCATATCATTACTACGACTCGTATCATTTTGTCGGTAGGTACGACGAGGTCGAGCAGTTTCAGTATTACTAAGAATAACTCGTGACTAAAAAACGTGAAATAATCGTGATGTTAATTGACGTTACGGCAATAAAATAATACAACTGTTTACCTATTACCACCACCATTACATAATATATTTTTATTTTTACTTACCATTCCACGATCTCGGAAACCGACTTTTTCAGGTCCTTTATCTAATCTATCCCTGTCGCTCACATCTCTATCAAAATCATCTTTCCTCCTTTCTTTCCTCCATTTGTCCGAATCCCAGTTTCTTAATCTGGAATCGTCATTTCTTTCTACTTGAGCAGAAGAAGAACGCCAGTTTGAAATTTCGCCAGCTATAATAATAATAAAAATGTTGTGTATGTATGATTATACAAATAATGTTATTTTATATGTATATATATATTATAGGTGAAAAAAATAGATAATTACCTGGCCTAGTAAAGCTGTCCCTAGCTGGAAGACGATAACGATCATCTGGTCTTCGTTTCGTTAATAAATCTTTTTGTTCCTTTTGTTTTTGTTCCTCCATACGACGTTCGATCGAAGCTTCCCGAGCTCTCGCTATTTCAGATTGTTTTTCAATTTTAGCCATACGTTCGGCCTTCCTTGCTTCTTCCTCGGCACGTTTCTTACGTTCCTCTTCTTCCCTCTTAGCTTTCTCTTCCTCCAAACGTTTCTTTTCTTCCTCCTGTTTGATACGTAATTCTTCGAGGCGTCTTCTCTCAGCAGCCTCGGCACGTTCCTTCTCCCATTTCATCTTACGTTCGGCTTTACGTTCCATTTTACGTTTGAGCAATCTCTTGGCACGTTCCTCGTTCAACATCTTTTCAAATTCCTTTAATTTTTCCATGTAATGGCTCTTACGTTCGGCCAAAATTTTGGCTAAGAACGTATCGTGATCCTCCTTCATTCTTGCCATACGTTCCCTAGTTGCTACAGCTTGTTGTCTCTCTTCAATAGCAGCTGCGATACGTTCGGCTTCCTGTTGTTCCCAACGTTTCTTCGCCAATTCCATCTTATCTTCTACCGCTTTCTCTAACAATGGTATCTCTTCGAGACGTTTAGCACGTTCCAAATAATCAATCTTTTTCTCTTGAGATTTCAACTTTTGCTGCATCTCTCTACGTTCCTTCTGCAATTCTTCAGCTTCGCGTGCTGCTATCTGCTCGGCATCAAGTTTTTTAATCTCGTCTTCGTCGAGTTTCTTCAATACCTTTTGTCCATGACTCGTCTGTGAAATTTGTTGCATTTTCTCTTTGAGATGTCGATCTTTTATTTGTTGGATCTCGCTTTGTTGACGTTTGCGTTCGCGTTCCTCGCGTTCTTGTTCGAGTCTCTTTTGTTCGGCCAATATTTGCTGACGCTGTAATTCCTCTTGACGTCTCATCTCTTCCTCCTCGCGTACAGTATTTATATGCTCGATGTATTCTTTTCTTTCTTCTATGATCTTGTGTCTTCCTAAAATCCTTTGGTGTTCCTTCATCTTGGTTTCGTGATAATGATTAACCATAGCACCGCGAAGCTTCTCACGTTCGAACTTCTTCTTGTTAGGATTGATCACATTGATCGCACGATGAAGAACAGTTGCCATGTTGACCAATTGACAACGAATTTGTTCAGATGGCATCGCTTGTAGGACCGGACCATCGGGATGGTCCTCTCTTTGTGCTTCCGAAAGATCAACCCCGAAGTGTACGCATTGTTTCCCGTGATCAATTCTTATCTGCATATCGTTGTAACGAACGCAATCGACCAGAAGCCTTTCCAAGTGGAAGTTAGTTGCGAACTTGGCAAGTTCCAACAATCTATCGAATTGTATAGTCTGATAAACCTGAGATATTTGATGAACTAGCCGTACAAGTGTAACGTCCTGTAAAGCGGGTATGTACTGTGTCAAAGGGCTATTCTCATCGGCTTGCAATGTTTGAATGACTGAATCGACTCTACTACAAAGTTCCAAAGGATGGAATTCAACTTCCAACCATGAATATAATTCCTGTAGCTGGCTTGAGGCGAGATTGACGATATTCAATCGGACAATGTCTTTCAATAAGGAAACTCGCGTTGGTGGTTGTGTCAATCCTAAAAGTGTCGCGAGCTTTTGTGCTTTCTCCAAAGGACTTTTATCTGTTTCGATAAAACGATCAAATTCGGGATGTGCCGAT